TTGTGTTGTGACAGCTGCTGTATCAGCATGCATAAAAAAAACTTATCAAAATTGGTGATTTTTTGTGTAGCCACTTTTTAATATTGAAGTTGGAAGAAAATACGCAATATTTTCAGCTTATTATGCTTTATCATGTGAAGAAAGGTAAAAACCCAACCGAAACACAAAAACGATTCGTGCAGGGTATGGACAGGGTGGTGTGACTGATCAAAGGTGTCAAAGGTGTTTGCGAAGATTCATGCTGGAGATTTCTCGCTGGACGATGAATGCTCCACGGTCAGATAGAACAGATGCAGCTGACAGTGATCAGATCGACACATTCATTGAGAACAATAGGTATCCCAAGTGGGAAACAGCCGACATACTCAAAATATCCCAGTCAATAGTTATAATGTGTCTTTTAATGTAAGGAAAAAACTAAACGGCCTTTTTGGCCAACCCAATACAATGTGCCTTGGAGAAGACCTCTTTTGACTGAGGTAACTAGGTGTTCGGTTTCGTACTTTGATGCGAGAACGTAGCTCTTTGCATAGGTTGGGGAAGTTATAATGAACTATGTGTGTGAATACGCTCTCCCTTCCCTTCTCCCTCTCTTCTTCCCATGGTTCTTAGCTTGCTCTTCCTGATGGGCACATTGTTCTTGCACATTCATTATGCCCAAGTCTCTTTCTTTTCCCCTCTGCATCATTTCTAGATTTCTGTATTTGGTATTGCGAATTCTTTCCTCCATCTGGTCCACTCTATTTCCTATGCTTGCTAGTTCACTGTTGTGTTTTTGTTTGAGTTCTTCGTCTTGAGAATTTATTTTTTTTAGAGTTGGAATCTCTTGGATAAAGTCCTCATTTTGTTTGTTGATTTGTTTTCTGAGCTTCATTAAGTTTCCTGTCTGTATTTATTTGCATCTCATTGAGTTTTTCCAGAACTGCCAACAGGAATCCTCTGTCACTTAAGTCACACATTTCCATGCCTTAAAGTTTGTTTTCTGGTGATTTTTCTTTTCATTTTCTTTCTGAGCTATCTTGCTACTTTGGTTATTCTTGGTATTTGAGGGACTCCTTCTCTGCCTAGGAATCTATGTATGAGTGGCCCTTTTTGAGCAGATGACTAGGAACATGTCTATTATTTTCCAGTAAGTGGTGCTGAATCACAAGTACTTTAGCTGTGAAATCCCAGTGCTGGCCTCCACAGCACTGCCGGCAGTGTAGCCATGATGTATGGGGTCGCATGGGCTGGGGGGCTGGGGAACCAGGCAGCCGTCTGTGTCACTTTGTCCTCCTAGTAACGGTGACCTCAGACCTCTGCGGCGGCGCCTCTGTACCTCAATCTGGGACCAATCACAGAGTTCACCCTCTGCTCATGGGAAAAAGTGATTCTGTAGTACCAGCCCTTGGGTTTGCAGATTCTGTAATGTGTTCCACAAGGGCGAACAGAAGTGAGCTCTGGGAGGCCACGGGGTGGCCAGGCTCTGTAGCTTTGTCTGTCTGTCCAGAATGTCAACCGCCAGACAACTGCATCTGCACCCCCAGGTCTCTGGGCTCGGCCACAGCTCCTCCAGCCCAGTGCTGCAGGGATGCCCGCCCGGTCTCTTTGCGCCCCCTGGCGGCCAGGAGGGGCCAGACGCAACCTGATCCCTCCCCTCTCCGGGCTGAGCCCCACCGTGAGCTTCTGGCTGCAGGGCTGTGTCTGTGGCTCCTCTCAGCGTTCCTCCCTTCTCGCCTGCCCCATTCGGGCCTAGTTGCCCGCCTTTACATGTCCAAAAGCACGGATCTCTCAGGCGTGTTTGTGTGTTGAGCAGGGAATCCTTCACTGAGTTATAACTATTCCAGTTATTGGGACTTCAGGGGGAGACCAGGGGATCCTTCACTCCACCATTCCTCTACGGCTCCCTTTATTTTTGTTTATTGTATACATCTCCGATTTAGAAGATTTAGAAGATTTAGAAGATAGCAGGACCTGTTTGTGTGTAAATTGACCTATTTTTGCCTAGAGATTTTCTATATATCGCCCCCTTTTCTCCCTTTGTTGTCAGAACTTGTCAGGCAAATGTCCTATTTCTCTGGTTAGGATAAACTAGGATTTTGCTAGTCTCGCCTAGTCATCAAAAGCAGAACAAATTAGCATGAATTAACTTTTTATGCTACTCTGCAGGACAGGGGGTCTTTTAAAATGACTCCAGTCGGCCTACTTTTTTTTTTTCAAATTGTAACACTTAGTCAATTTTATGGATGAATCAAAAACATGTTTCTTTTTGGTAAATCACATCTCTATTGCCCTTGCATACATGCTACTTTCACGACAGGGACCTTTTGTAAGTCCAAGTTCTCCCTGTGGTAACGTCACCCATGCCACGGCCCTCTGCGTGCCCTGGGCTATACACTTTTTCTTCTGTGCTCATTATTTTGAACAAGCAGGGAGGACAGTATTTGTACCTGGTGCCCCACAGATGGCCCAGTGCTTTAGATGCGTGGCGTAGTTCGCTTCTGGCTTATCATACGTTCTAAAGCAGAGTGAAGGTTTAGAGTATGTCTATTCTAAGACACATCTAAGAACTAGTAGGGAGCGTGCCTTTTTGTCATTTCCTGGCCATCATTCAAAGAAATTTGAACAAAAACATAGTGTGACAGAGTTAAAAGAATGCTAGTAGGTTTATTTGTTTCAAGTTAGTGAGCAGCTTTGCGAGACAAAAAAAATTGGGGAAGTTCATAAGCTGCCTAGAGGAAGATATCCAAAAATTATTATTGGACTAAAACACTGCCTTTTGAAACAATACCTGTTTTGGGGATGGCTAGGTAGAGAGATCCTGTTTCTAATATCTGATTTGTATTTGGTAAAAGTCTTTGATTTGTACCTGTTGATTTTGACTTCCCAATTGAAGTGTTTTTGTTTAGGCTGTGCTAACCAATATGGTTGCCACCACCACCATATGTGATTATTAAAGTTAAGACTAAATACAATTTAAAAATCACTTCCATGGTAACACGAACCCTATTTCGAGTATGCAACAGTCACTCGTGGCCAGTAAGTACTATACTGGAGATCACAGGATATTAAAATGGAGTCATTGCAGAAAGTTCTATTAGTAGCTTTAAAGACAGAATGGGGAGAGGGATCACGAGGGAGACGGGCGGAAGGGTCCAGTCCAGGACCATGCATAAAGGACTCGTGGACAATACGGGTGGGCAGGGTAGGGGAGAGCAGCAGGGGAAAGACTGGGACAACTGTAATTAAACATCAATAAAAAATAAAAATTAGAAAAAAGATAGAATCCACTAAGCCTCACATTTTAATGAGGAGCCCAATTTTTTTTTAATTTAAACAATCTTTTTTTTTAGATTTTATTTATTTATTTTTAGGGAGGGAAGGGAGGGAGGGAGAGAGAGAGAGAGAGAGAGAGAGAGAGAGAGAGAGACATCCATGTGCGGTTGCTGGGGGCCATGGCCTGCAACCCAGGCATGTGCCCTGACTGGGAATCGAACCTGCGATGATGCTTTGGTTCACAGCCCACACTCAATGCACTGAGCTACGCCAGCCAGGGCAGGAGCCCAATGTTTTAAAACATTTCCAAAAATCTTCTATGCAGGTATAGGGACTCTTTAGTTATTGCTTACTCTTTCCGACTCGGCCCCTGGGAGAGGTCTGTCCATCCGCTCACGTGACAACAGAAGAGGCTAAAGGTCAGAAAGGTTAAACGGGTGGGGGCATTTCTCATTTCGATAAACAGAAAACTGTGATCAGTATCTGGCTGCATCCTGCACAGTGGATCCATTTCATTCATCGGATAAAGAGGTGTCGCTGTGTGGGTTTTACCGAAAACCGTGCATTTATAAATAACCTATCACTTTGTTTTCTGTTTTTACTCCTTATGCTCACACACAAGTCTGCATTTCAATCCAGTTCACTCAAAAGATCTGTAGCTTTCAATTCCTAAATGCATTTATAAACAAATGTTTCTTCACAACAGGTTGGTATCGGCCGAGTAGTTTTGCCCTATTTTATGCCCCCTCCAAGGCCAAAACCTTTAGGTAACATCTTATCTGTGTGTTCTTTGAGTGTTTTTAACATTGATCAGTATGGTAATCACAATCTGTTAATGAATTGTCAGAAAATATCTATAAAACTTTGAAAATCCCTTGACCCTATCTATATGAAATCTACACAATTGTCCTTTTATACATTTTGCAGTATCATTCGTACGCATTGTACTATGTTATGTAGCCAAATCTGAGTTTTCTACTACTCTATATACCATATAGGTAATTAAATTATTTCAAAGAATATCAAATACTGCATTTAATTTTTCCTCTGCCTTCCCCATTCCAAGAGCCAACTAAAGGCAATTCTTCACCTTAATTGGAGCTTTTTCACTGTATCTTCAAAGAATTGGAACAAAATGAAAATATTTAACGTTAACAACACATTGGCTGAAATGTACTCTCATTTTGATGACTCGAAATGCTGAAATCTCTTACCTTGAGTTGAAAACCATCATGAAAAATATTTATCGTTATTCTCTATGCACATGTAAAAAATGCTAGTAATGGAAATTGTGTAGTCAGTGCTCCCGGAAACGTATCTGGCATATTTTCAATAGGCAAGATAAAGCTTTGTATGCAATCACTGGGAAAAAGTGATAGGTTTGTGTGTTCATAATTAATGTTTACATTTACTTGTTTAGGTCAAGTTTGTGACAATCATTCCCAGACAGATTAAAAGTACGATCCCGGGTCAGTTACTGATTTGTCGGTAGCAGAGCTGAATAGGTTGTGTGATGGAAACGCAAAATAGTGCGTGCTAAGGAATATAGAGAAAATTAAGACCCAGATTAATAAACCCCATGCAGTGGCAAACATTCTACTGATAAAATTTCTGCACTGCTACTTTGCCTAAAGTTTGAAAAATCGAGGTGATGACCCACTCAAAATTTTCCAAGTACACCAAGATCCTCATTTGTCTTTAAACACCCCATGAGCTACGTGTAGGGAAGGGTTTGTAAAACGCACCGCAAGCAAGGAGTAGTTCTGGACTCCGTTTATCCCTATGTCCGCATCCGAGGCCGCCGGGACAGAGTAGCGAGAACCTATGAGCGAGTTCTCCGGCACAGTTATGTTGATGATCGTCGTCGGGAACGACGGCGCGTTGTCGTTTATATCCTCTATCACAAAACGTATCTTAACCAGTTTAAATATCTCATCCGGCAAAATGGCCACCTCCACTTCATAAAAGCAATCGGCGTTATTGACGATCTCAGGGCATAGGACCTCCCGGTCGATGTTGACGTTAGTGGTGAAGATGTCCCCGGTGTCCTCCTGGATTCGGACCAGCGGCAGCTCCCCAAGCTTGTACACCAGCTTGAAGTTCAAGGGGATCTTGAGGGACACGTTGAGCATGAGCGTCAGGTTGAGGTCTCTCATCAGGTTGCCGATCAGGATGTTGTCCGGCAGTTCCTCCTGAATGAAATACTGTTTCATCTGGGCACCGGACTGGAACGTGATGCATACCAGGAGGGCCGCAAAAATATACGTCCGGGACAGGAAGCTTCGGTTCTGGGGGACGGCTGCGCTGCCCGTGTTCCCGTCCGTAAGGACCTGCCGGGAGGGAGGACAACAGGGGAAGAGGAAGAAGACGTGAGCAAAGCCGACAACTACATGCACGCTAATAAAGTCGTTACACAAAAATATTAGCACGATCAACACTATTAAACCGACAGGTTGTTGTATTTTGTTCAAAGTTACTTTCTTTTTTTAAAAAACATTTTATTTATTCATTTTTAGGGAGGGAAGGGAGAGACAGAGAGAGAGAAACATGAATGTGCGGTTGCTGGGGGCCGTGGCCTGCCACCCAGGCATGTGCCCTGACTGGGAATCGAACCTGCGACGCTTTGGTTCGCTGCCCGTGCTCCATCCACTGAGCTACGTGAGCCAGGGACAGGCTGGTTTTGAATCCAAGTATTATCGCATGGAAGGGAAACAAAACAAGAATTTATGTGTTCACCATGGATAAAATATATAAAATATAATATTGTAACATATCAACATAGTTAAAGGTACTAAAAATAATTAAAATATTTAATTCAATGGTCAAGGAAAAGTAAGGGGATATGGTACCAATCACAAAAAGAAAGTCATTGCTCTTTTTTACACTATGGATTTCAAATGCAATTCCTTATTTGTAATGAAGGGTTATGACAATATTTGGGGGGGGGGGGGAGCTGTTCCAGGCCTCAAAATGTAAAGTAGATCTAAATAAAAGAACACAAGGACTCAGGACATATGACGGACTTGTCGATTACAGAACAGTCCTTTGACAGAAAACAGTGGTTGACATGACAAGTATCTTGGTAATAGAAAACGGTATTAACTAGTTTTTTTTTAATGAAAGGAAAAGAATAACAATGAATTACAGGGAGCCAACTTTCAAATCAACACAAACAAATGCCTCCTAAAACATTTTGGAAAAAAAATTACTTTTCAGGAGACAATGAATTCCACATCTCTGGAAGCACTGGTGGAGAAGACGGAGCACCCCATTAACTGCCCAGATTTATGATGTAGCAGATGACATCCAAACACTCAGTGGGAGGACTGCACCTCTCAGCTCTTAGAGTTTCTGTTTATACCTGGGAGAAAGTAGCCCATGTGCAATGGGGTTTCATGTGTACACACTGAAGTAAAAATTACCCCACTTGACTATGGTTTAAAAATGACAAAGGTGCCCTGGCTGGCGTAGCTCAGTGGATTAAGCCCGGGCTGCGACCCAAAGCCTCGCAGGTTCGATTCCCAGTCAGGGCACATGCCTGGGTGGCAGGCCATGGCCCCCAGCAACCGCACATGGATGTTTCTCTCTCTCTCCCTCTCTTTCTCCCTCCCTTCCCTCTCTAAAAATAAATAAATAAAATCTTCTAAAAATGACAAGGGCATTTGAAAACACTTTGCTCTCTTAGAACAGTGAGTTAGAAAACAGTCAATTTCCCTGGCTTTTTTATTCCTTCTTGCTTATTTTTTAAACTCACTAATATCTGCTAAATTATTTCCTTTCTCTATATACTGATAAAATTTGGTAAGAAATAGTTATAGTTTGAAATTTGTAAGTTTTTCATTTTCCTTTATGATCAATTCTTATTCTCAACTGGATATTTTTGATATAGCCTCAATTTTATATATTAAATATCTTTTATATCTAGTATCATGAAGCATTTAATGTGCTTCTAGATATTACTTGTAGTTTGTTATTTATAAACACAATCAAATTTGTTTCACTGCACTCAATCCTATCAGATGTTACTGTTTATAATTAAATGATAGATTAATGCAGTTATTAATGTATTCAGAAGTTTTTCCAAGAGCAGCTAACGAAGTTCTCAATATTTATTAGTAATCAATAACATTGACAAAATTTTACTAACAGTTCTAAAAGCAGGAGGACTCATGAAATACTATGTCTTGCTATAGATGTTATGTTTCAATTATCTCAGACCAATGTATTCTCTTAAATAATTTTCCAACTGTGTAACTATATTATCAGCATTAAAAGTATACCTATAGCCCTGAGTGGTGTGGCTCAGTGGATTGAGTGATGGACTGCAAACCAAAGGGTCGCCAGTTCGATTCCCAGTCAGGACACATGCCTGGGTTGTGGGCCAGGTCTCCAGTAGGGGGCGTGCAAGAGGCATCCACACATGGATGTTTCTCTCCTTCTCTTTCTCCCTCCCTTCCTGTCTCTCTAGAACTAAATATTTTTAAACTATACATATAGACAGGCCAGAAAATATAAAAATGGAGAAAAAGAAACTTCCCTATCTGCAATCAGTAACACAACAATTGAGATGGTTCAGGTTATGAGGGGAAACGAGAAATGAAGTTGAAACACACGACTTTTTATTTTCTTATCCCTGAATTATGGGCTAGATCACTTTCTTGTGTTGAGTGACCAATGGCATTTATGAAATATTTCAAGTATAAGAGTAAGCAGTGCTAATGTTGAAGGCATTTTACCCTCTTAGTAAACAACACAAAAAGACTATTGCCTGGGATATTTTTAGCATCCTTTGCTCAGTGAATTACCGGCCTCATACTCCTTCGTGAATGTAAGAGTAAAATATCCCATTTATACGTACTAAGAGCTAAGATTCATACATACACATGTGGACTACACACTGTGAATCTAGGACATCTGAAAAAACTGAGTGTCTGTGAGCATGAATTTATAAATACCATGCAAACATAAGCAAAATTCAAATGGGGACACTGACAATTGGAATTAAAACTACCACTCGATTCTTATCTTATCCTTAGGTATTACACATTATTCTAACTGGCAGAAGAGTACTACGGCGCATTTTTTAAAACACTGCACACGCACTGCAATCTCTCCGCACGAGAGGAGGAGTGAGGACAATGGCCTAATTCCAGACGGTCCCGTCTCCCCGCCCCCTCTGCTTCTGTCGCACTCTACCTTTACTGACGTCATCACATGAAACATTTTCACCTTGTATCATTGCCAATGTGTTTGGAGGTTTCACAAACCAAGACAGATTGAACGCGACCAGACACCACTGATCCTACAACTGAAGTGGATACACACATCGCAAACCAACAATTTTGTCGGTTATCCAACAAATACTTACTTCAGCCATTTTCGTATGACAGGGGCTGTTGTAGGCACTGACAGGGAATCAGGGAACAAAACCGACAAACAGTGCCTGTCCTCGCAGAAGTTAGTTAATATAAACACTCCAAACTGTCTTTACTTTGGTAAAGAAATATAAATACACCAATATGCCCTGGCTGGCATAGCTCAGTGGATTGAGCGCGGGCTGCGAACCAAAGTGTCGCAGGTTCGATTCCCAGTCAGGGCACAGGCCTGGGTTGCAGGCCACGGCCCCCAGCAACCACACATGGATGTTTCTCTCTTTCTCCCTCCCTTCCCTCTCTAGAAATAAATAAATAAAATCTTAAAAAAATATATATATATATATATAAATACACCAATATATAACAAGCTCAACTCGGCCTGTCAGTCTCCATTACTGGATTCCAACCCTTGCATTTGCCGATTGAAAACGTACTGTTATCTTCAAAATTAAAATGCTTCAAAATGCTGAGTTTCACTGTTTGAATGACCACTATAGAACTTTAGCTACTAAACATGACTATAAGGGGTCACTGCCTAGCTTTATAAAAGCATGATAAATTTACCTCACTCAGGGAAAATAATCCCTGAACATCGTCTCTCTCTCATGCACAAATGACAACCTTAGTTTTTTTTACACCTTTCCTGCACATCCCACTCCTATGTAGCCTCGGGTTAGTTTGTAAATTGATAGGGAAATGCAAGTGGTGTTTTTTATAGTCAATGCGTACTGGTTGGGTAGGTGACAGTCACCCTCAGAGGATAATTATGATGATAATTAAGAGAAAGCAAAACCAGAAGTCAAAGAACTGTGAAATCGGAAGACATGAAAAGCAAAAGTGCAAGTTCATTTTCTAGGCTCTGAAAACTCGAGTTCTAAAAAGGTAACTACGTAGGAGAACAAAGTCTCTGCTATGCAATTCTAGGAAACTCAGACAACAAAAGTGATGTGGAAAGGGTTTGTCAAAAGAATTCCAAGGCATGATTTCCCTGGCATACCTGTCACCTTTTCCTCCATTAGACTATTGTGTTTAATTCGCGATATGCTCCAAGTAATGCTATATGAATGAATGGCTTCCACGCCACCATAATGAAGTCTCACACAAACTTAGGTGGCACACGACAAAATCTCTGTTGGCTCCCATGGTTCTAATTATCTCTCTTTAAGTGAAAAATGCACCATAGAACCACCTCGAGGGAGTCACTTCTTTGTTCAAAGCTGCTTTCACAGGCTGGGTGCATGGGCAGGTAGTTCTTAGGCTGACAGGGAGGACTCCAGCGCTGAAAGAAAAGGAACCACTCTGGAGGAAAACAAAGTGGAAGAACTGACGTCTCCAAAGGTTTCCCAGGGGCTGACCGCCATTGCTTCAGGCCCGTCGCCAACCTGTCTGACTGTACTACACATTCTTACCGTTGAAATGTCAAAATGAGAGATTTAATAAGGTCCTTCAATTCCATAAACCTGGTATTTTTATTGAATTCGATTCCACAATGGACATATTGATTGCATTTTATTTTGTATGGGTCTAATTTATTTTTCATGGGCCTAATTTTTCACCTTCGCGTCTAACTTCTCCAAGAAGTAGACTCCATCACTATTGCTTCCTACTCTAAAATGTTGATATTTTGTTGATTTGAAACACTAACAAGCTTTCAAATCTGTTACTAATGCATGCTCACACAGCACTTACAAGATACTTTATGAAGGTTGCTCTTTTATATTAATTATTTGGGATTTTTGATAGGTGATATAGTTTGTAATATGGTTTCAAGGTTATTCAAGCAAGAATCACATTCTATATAGCAAAATGCTCATCCATCATTATGTATTTTTATCACATTGGGATGAATTTAATGTTGATTATTTCAGTGTCTATTAATTATTCTAATAAATTTGGTTTTTAAATATCATATTATCATAATGAATAAACCCTAGATTCACAAAAGGTAAAAGGAT